GGCTTGGATCTGCCCGGGTGCAATGCACGGTTAGCTGGCGAGTGTGGGAGACTGTGGTGATAGGGTGAAGGGCCAGGGCAGAAGAGAAAGGGAGGGCTACCTCTGTTCCTCTTGTCTGACTCAGGGTCACCAACTGCCTGAAGTGGACAGTTGATGAGTAACACTTGAGCTGGAAAACGTCCAGCTGCACTTGTGCGCCAGCAAACGGCTAAGGCCATAAACTGATGGCCCGTTGTCTGATGTGTCCAACAGATGGGTGCTGTTCGGATCCCACCAGGTTTTAACATCTTTGAGGCAACACTTAAAAATTGGGAGATTTCACATAAAAAGCTAGTTTTCGAAAGCTTTTTGAAAAGTTCTGGTGGCATGGGCCTGAATTCCCATGTGGAAGTTGCTAGAGTTCAGTCGTTGCTGCCCCTGGGTCTTCTCTCCATCGCCTGCCTGACACCGTGGCTGAATCTCAGCCTTTTATCATTGGCTGTAGCTCTGGCTTTCCAACTGCCTCCACCCATATCCTACTCATGAGCTTTACCTGCCTGGCCCCTGTGGGCATTTTAGTCTGTAAATCCTGTGTTAAGATCCCAGAAGGCAGAGATGCCTTATTTATCTTTGCAACCCAGCCTAGTGTCGTGCCTTACATACAGCAGGCTTTAGTAATTATGCATTGAACTGGTTTGAATTGAGGAGAGGTCTTTTTGCTCAGATGGGGGTGCTGCAACTGATGCAACGCTGGCATCTCCCCAAGCCTTGGTGTCCCTCAGGTGACACAGCAAAGACCCAAGACATTTAAAGCTGCAACTCTGGATCACTTGACTTCTCAGCTGACATTGAGGATCAGGGCAGCCCGCACTTTGTGAACAGCAGATCTAATCTGCCTGCTAGAAAGGCTTCATTCCACCTGGGACGCTTAAGCCCACCCTAGATCTAATCACTAAAGTAGAATATGGGATAGCGAGTACTTGGGGGGGGGGGGTGGAAGAGGGAGGGGGAAGGAAGATGTGTTCTTTTGATTACAAGTAACAACAGCAACAAAAAACCGTCAAACTTTCTTAAGCAAATGAGGGAAATGTCCCATAATTGTCAAGTCCAGGGGGATCTGGATCCTGGTGCTCAAAAGGTGTTATAATGAATTCTTCTCTTCATTTCTTGGCTCTCCTTGCCTGAGTTGGCTTCCATCTGAGGCACTGACTCTTCTAAAACAGTGACAAACCTGTCCTCTCTTTTTTTATTTTTAAAATATGTTTTTTATTGACTTTCTTCTTCTTTTTTTCTTTTGAGGAAGATTAGCCCTGAACTAACAACTGCCACCAATCCTCCTCTTTTTCCTGAGGAAGACTGGCCCTGAGCTAACATCCATGCCCATCTTCCTCCACCTTATATGAGGGACACCTGCCACAGCATGGCTTGACAAGTGGTGTGCATGTCCGCACCTGGGATCCAAACCGGCGAACCACAGGCCACCGAAGCAGAACATGCAAACTTAACTGCTGTGCAACCAGGCCAGCCCCCAACCTTTCCACTGATAGCCCAAGGCTTACCTGCTAGGAACGCCAGTGAAAAGACAGCACCACTTTCCAGTGACTCAGCAAAAATTCTGGGCTGACATCCTTCGGAATAACATGAGTCACATGGTCACCATTGAACTCATTACTATGGCCAGCACAATGGAATATTCTAGCCTGAGTAACTGACCCACCGCTAGAGTCTGGATGGGAGGATGGTGAGCCTCTGTGGACTCTATGGACTGAAAATTGGGTAGAGGTGTTTCTTTACACAGAAAATGTTAATACAGGAAACAGATGCTGGCAGGTAAAAACAACCCGTCTTCACTAGAGAACTAATATTAATAAGTTAAGGAAACTGAGATGTTTCAGACTGGACTTTGAGCTGAATGCAGTATCTGGATTGGACTTTGCGTTCTTTCTCTTGGGGAAGAAGTAACTCTATTCCATGTGTGGGACAGAGGGAAGAACTGTGGTAGAGAATGCTAGATTTCTACAACCCATTCTCCCTTCTTTCATATATCCAGCTTTCCTACATCCCCGAGCCTCCCTTGCAATTAAATGTGGTCCTATAATGAAGTTCTCCTCAAAGGAATATAAGCAGAAAGTTTGTATGCAACTTGTGGCTCTAGCCTGTAAGCCTCCTGTGTACATCCTTCCACAGCCAGAGTGACCTTCAAAACCATATGTTAAAGATGACAGTGTCAGTCTGAGCCCCTGAATGACTGTATTTGAATAGAACCTACCTTCTTCTTTCAACCTGGAATGACTGTCCTGAACTATTTAGAGAACAAAACAAACTTCTATGTTATTTGGGCCATCACATGTTGGGCCTACTTATTTTGGCAGTTTGGCCTCCTCTAAGGCATTTGGTACAGGGAAGTTCTTCCTATTATGACACAAAACCTGGAAGTCATAAAGGACAAGACTGACAGATTTCACTACACTACAAAAATGTAAAACTTCTGTATGGGAACAATAAGATAAAGTTAAAGTAGACATGAAGAAAATGTCTGCACAATATATAGTAGGTAAGAGATTAATATCCATTCTAAAAAGAGAGCTTTTGCATAATAAGAAAAGGATTAAAAATGGACAAAGGATATGAATAATTCATTAAAAATGTAAATAGTAACATACATACAAAAATGCTCAATCTCACTAGTAATCAGGAATATAAAAAAATTTTTCTTAAAGCAAAATAAGTATTTTAATACCTTTTCTTTTAATTATTTTTGACTACTAGAATAGTACTTTTAGAGTGCACATAAAGTGTCAATTTGGTTTTCCCTTATTAATTAATCTTTAAAGTTTCCGAAGAAAGGGAAAATTAGAGGGAACAAGGAAAAAAAAAAAGTAAGACAGAACCAGCTTTAGATAAATAGCCATACTATTAAGAAGTCAGTACCTATTAAACTCTAAAATATAGAAACAACATAGAAGGGGATATCTTTTACATTAAGCAAAATGGTCTCTTTCAGACAAGATGGATACTCTCATGAAGGTTTCTTCCTTTCGTTTAATGCACTTCTCAAATAAACAGTCTCATTCACGTCAAGTTCCCTCAAAGTGGCCATTGCAATTCCAAACTGTCCCTGGTGAAATTGTGCTAGTGAGATACATACACTAGTTATAGTGAGAAAACACAAAGGAAGCAAGCATTTGACCCAGAAGAGGCAGGACTTTAGATTGAAAAGACCCCACAAAAACTGCCATGGGGGCCGGCCCCATGGCCAAGTGAGTAAGTTCATGCACTCTGATTCAGTGGCCCAGGGGTTGCTGGTTCAGATCCTGGGCAGGACCTATGCACAGCTCATCAAGCCACGCTGAGGCGGCGTCCCACACAGAAGTAGAACGACGTACAACTAGAATATACAACTATGTACTGGCACTTTGGGGAGAAAAAAACAAAACAAAACAAAACTGCCATGGTCCATAAGGATGGTGCTTGTGCAAACTTGTATCCTGGAACTTGGCCAAAGACTAATTGTCACCAATCAGGAGCCAAACAGACCTTGATTCTGGGCAGAGGAAACCAAACAATCCTCAAGGACACAAAGATAAGACTTGGTCTCTCTTGTCCCCATCTTGGTCAATTTGGATTCTATTTCACAGGGCCCACACTGCTCCCAGACTTTACCACCGACACCTAATGCTTACCCTCTACTGAAGTGTGCAAACGTCTCCTGGATTCAGCAGCTTTTCTCAATATAGCTTATGAGTACCCGCTGATTTTTGCATTAGGACCTGCTGATTATTTTGCACTTCTCAAGGCTGTCAGATGCTTATTCTTTCTCTCTGCTTCCTTTGACAATGTACAGAGTTCATTGACCTCCCCGCCTTCCAAGGACACTGGCCCTGGGCCCTAAGTGAAGGAATGTGTCTGGGCTTGGGGCCAAAGATGGCCACTTCAGCCCTGACTCTAGGGTACAAGTTACAAAGAATGTGTCCTGCGTCATGTTCCCTGTCTGGGCTGGCCACCCCAGAGGGCACCTGACTGAACTTTAGAAACATCCCATCTGTGGGAACAAAAAAGACAGAAGCACCCCATCCGTAGGAAGAAGAAATAACTCAAAGTATCCAAATGTCTGAAACCCTGAATCACAACCTAGAGAAACCTTAGGATAGAAGGACGTCACAGGCATAGAACAATTGGGAGTCTCACTGAGGAAAAGACACTTTGCCTCATACCCGAACAACTGGCACTCCCACCAGCCATACAAACTATTGGGACTTCCTCGGCTGATTGTGGTGTGGATGTTCTAAGTACCGATTTGTTGTTTCCCTTTATCCCCACTCCACGTTCTGTTCCCCTTTATCAATAAACTTTGATTGCTTAAACAACCAAGTAGCCTTGGCGGTACCTGTCATTCCTTGCCCTTTGCAGCTGCGGACAACAGATACAATGGCTTGAGACTATGATAGTTTTGTAGGTAGTACCCTGTTACCTGGTTTTGTTGTAGATGCTGTCTATGGATTTCAGTTTTGCTATCCTGGTTGCTCTGTATGTTTTTAAGGAGGGTTTTGGGGAGATGCGTAAGTTATGCAACCATCATCACTATCTTTTCACTTGTGTCTCTTTTTTGAAAGCAAGGGAGACCTTCCAGCAATATCCCAGTAGACTGCCCTACACATCTCATTATCTAGCTAGAATTATAACCCATGGCCATGCTTAAATAAACCCAGGGACAAGGGTGGTGGTAAACCACGATCAGCATCAAGATCCACTTCCTGGAATTAGAACAAAAAGGGAAGAGCACATAGGCACACAGATGGTGAGTAATGAAACCGAACAGGAATGGGGCTACACCTGAAAGGAAGCAGCAAGGCGGCAGCAGGGACAAGGGAACAGATTTGAGTACAAAATGGTGAAGAGTATTATTTTTCAAAATTGACAGTAATTCACAGAAATGTATTTTACATCATTACCCTACACACACACACACATTTATGTAACTAAACAAGTTTCAAAAACAATACTATATTGGGGAAAAAAGCTAGTAAATTCCAAATATTTTATTAGTATTTAAATACAATATACCAAAATACGTGTAAAAAAGCACAAAACCAAAATTCCATAAAGACTGTATTTAATGTGATGGGTGTGCTTGCTTGTTCATAAGTTCATTCCAGTCTGGGACACATGAAGATAAGGCCACACGCATGTCAGGTGCACTATTGAGCCTATTTCTTTTCTTTGTTTTCAATCGTGTCAAGATTGAAAATCCTAGTTCACACAAATAGGTAGTTGTGAATGGTAATAATAGCAATATACTCTTTCTACTTAGCAATGGAAAGTCATCTTTGATCTTAATCCAAAATGTTGATAAACTTAACGTCTTGTAATAATTCTTCAGTGTGAATGATGAACTGAGGTGCAATAATTCACTCTCTTCTTCGGGCACCAAGTTTAACTCAATTATTGATTCTGGGGTCTGAAAACCAAATGGATCTTTCACCCAAATATTTTCCTTCAATGATTGAAATTTTTCTTCTGGAAAATAACGATTAAAGGTTTGAGACAAAGCAGTGAGATGCAATAATATCTCTAATTTTATTTCTTTTAAGCAGTCTTCATTAATGATGTTCTCTTCAATGTGTTGCAACAATGTTGGGAACATATAGTAGCTGGGGCGATTACCTTTAAGTCTCGCTTGCCACAACAATAATGTCTTTTGGAAACCTAGAATATGTTCAAGATATTGAAATATATCATTGTTTTTCCCCTGTAGTTTCAAATTTAATTCATTAAGAACGCCAAAAATATCACTTAAATATGCCAATTTTGTTACCCAAATGTCATCTTCAAAAATAGTTGCCAAATGAGATTGCTTTTCAATGAGAAAAACGTAAATCTCCTTCCTGAGTTCATATACTCTGCTCAGGATTTTTCCTTGAGACAACCAACGGACTTCGGTATGAAACAATAAATGGGTATGGTTAACTCCAATTTCCGAACAAAGCATTTCAAGGAGCCGGCTGTTCAATGAGCTTCCTTTAATAAAATTCACAATTTTCACTGCATTTCTCAATACATCCATTAGACTTGGTGGAATTTCTTTAGATACCAAAGCTTCTCGATGAATAAAACAGTGATTCCAAAGAGCATTGTTATGGGTTGCTTCCAACAATTTTTCAATAACTTTGCTATGTCTTCCAGTCATATTTGCTGCTCCATCACTTGAAATCCCTTTACAATGTTTCCAGTTTAATTTATATTGACCAACAATGCACTTCTCTAATTCAGTAAATAAGTCTAATCCGGTTACATGTGAATTTAAATTTAAACAACACAACAGATCCTCTATAAAATCATCTTGCCACACATATCTGACATAAACCAAGAGTGCTGGGCAACTTGCAATATCAGTGCTCTCATCCAGTTGGATTGCAAAATCTATACCAGACTGTAGCCGTGAAATCAGCATTGCTTCTAAATGTTTTGCAATCGTACAGATTCGGCGAGATATTGTATTATCGCTAAGAGGTATAGTTCTTAATTTATCAGCTGATTTATCATCAAAAATTGTACGTACCATATCCATACATGCTGGGAGAATAATCTTTTCAGCAGCCGTGTGAGCCATTTTCTCTCTTGCCACTCGATATGCAACTAAATATGACGATAATAAGGCTCTCTCATTCATAGTTGTGGAACGACTAAGAAATTGTGGTGATAACTTTATGCTATGTCTTTCCTTTTGAAAATGCTCTTCCTCATCTTCCTCCTCCACTTTCACTATCACTATGCCTTCCATCTCCTGTGTAGTCTGGGGACACAAATCTGTAGTATCCTCTGGTTCAGTAGTCATTGTTCAGGTTCAAAGAAACGGCTCACTTGATCCAAAGAGGCTGTGTTTGCAGGGCTGTCCTTTCTGTCCTGGATGTTTTATGAGATCTGTTTTTGCTATCCTGCAGGGTAGAAAAAATTTATGGCAGTATTAAAAAGTAACATTGTATGGCTATGCTGCTAACACCTCATACAAGTGTTCATGAAGACAATTTACTAAATCCAGTGGTGTGACATTGTAAATGATGAACTACTGCCATTTATGTACCTGTGTGCCAGGCACATTTGGTACATGACATACAGAGGTCATTTAATACCCGTGGAAACCTAATGAAGTACACATGATGATTATTCCTATCATACAAAAAGTAGAAGCTAAAAAAGATTAAACAATGTGTCTAAAAACATATAGTTCTTGTGGTAGAGCCAGTATTCAAACGTAAGTCTGAAGCCCAGGGTCCTAACCATGCTGCTACACTGCCATCTAGTCACTCTAAAAAGTGATCTGGTCACTGTTAAAAAGTGGTCACCAAAGGAGGGTTTACAAGATGATCCACTAGGACACAGGGGAAAAAATTAGACCTTGTATTTATATTTTAAAATTATTGAAATCCATTTAACCTTTCCTGATAGCCCTAACTTCTTTTTGTCCCCATCTTTTAGCATTTATAGTGTCATCATTTGTGTTGCTGCTGTTATCTTTATCTTCCAACTCTTATATTTTGTTTGCTCATTTCCTTCAATCTTAGTGATATATCTTCTGAAAATTCCATTCTGTCTCAGGTATTTTGAGGAGACTGAGGAAAATGAATCTTGGTTTTTGACATGTGTCAAAACTTTAAAGGTGGGAGGGAGGAATAAAACATTCCTAGAGGTCTTCACTCACAGTGGCAGAATGAATCAAAACGAAGGGACTCCAAGGAGGTGAAACTCAAAGGTGCAGGGCTGAGGTCAGGAGGCTGACCTGGACAGGCCTGTCTGGAGTGTATTCTTGCTCATATTCTGGGCAAGGAGCAGTAGAAAGACTGGGTTTTACTTTACATTTCTTGAATGATCCCAGCACTCAGTCATCTCCTGCCTTTAGAGTCACTGTCTCCATCACCAGTTTGGTACATAATATTTTGATAGCTTTTACCCTGAAATTTAATTTTTAATGCTTTCATGCCTTATCTTGACTAGATGATTCCTCAGGAATAAAGATTTGTTTTTTGCTTTCATTGTCACCCTTAAGTCACTTAACATAGTTCCTTGCAACCAGTAAACATTTAAAAAATATTTGTTTGCATGAATATAATGTCAACATTTTCTGCCCATTTGTGGAAAGCTCAACAAATTCATTATAGGTCTGGTATTTCAAAACTTGGAATGGAATTTATAAATTAAGAGATTTCACTGTATTGCAACTGTCAGCTTAATTATGAAACATCTGAATAAGAATGGGAAGAATATTAGAGCAGCACAGGTCAAAATACAGAAGTAAATTATGTCCATGGGGAAGTTACTTACGTCTCCCATTACACTGTGTAACCAACCTATTTCTCCAGCAAATAGTAAGGTTTCATTGATCTGCTTCTCCAAAATTTATTTGATCGCATATTATCTGTTTAGCACTGGCCTGTATAAGTGTTTCCTTTGGTCCTCTGCCACTTATCAGCCTCTGAATGATGAAAGTAACTTTCTGTATACTGGTGGCACCGCAGGAAATGGAGATAGGGCATTAGGTTTGACCTAGATGGATTTTTCACTTAAATCAATTCTATCAAAGAATTTCCTAGTTGGAAGGGCCCTTTCACATAACCCAGTTTATTTTACTCAGGACAAATTTGAGACTTGGTGGTGTTTTGTCCAAGCTCATCCTGTTAATCGGTGGCAGACAGAGTGCTTGCAACTGGTTTCCTAATGGCCCAAAGCACTTTCCATTGTGCGGCCACAAAGTCCCTTCCCTACTCACTGCTCCAAGTCAAGCACAGTTGTCTCCCACAACTGAAAAATCCGCCTAGTGTACTAAACCACTCCTTTAAAAGGCCTTCAGAAAGCTCAGAGACTGACAGGAAAAGGGTGAAGTGTATGTAATCTTCTCCCACTGCAACCAAATCACTTCATTCACTAGGCTTCAAACATTCTTTAATCACAACCATTAATGGTGGTGGTTTTGGGGCTGAGCAGATGACATCCAAAAATTTATGAGGCTTAACAAACTTGTCCACTCAAAAAAAAAAAAAAAAAAAAACACCCCGTGGAGCTTGGTAACGTCCACAGTCTTCGTCTTAACACCTGGGGGGCCTAGGAAGCCAGAATAAAAGCCCTTACTGGAAGGACAGGAAATGAGGACAAATGGGAAGCAGAGAAATTAGTCTAGGGTCATTCTGTCCGCGACCTCTTGGGGTGAAAACCGAGGACGAGGGGGCCCAGGCGGGGCACGCAAGCGCCTCTTCCCGGTCCCAGAGACATCTCATCTCAGTCCGGAAAACAAAACGTCATTCCCTTCCCGCGTGGATCTAGGACTGTCTCTGCAGGGAGACGCGCATCCTACGGCCTAGGCTGGGACGAAGGACAGGGTCACGGGCGCTCCTCCACCGCGTCCGGGGGCGGTGGTGGCGAGGGGGATCGCGGAACACAGCCGTCACATCCACCTCCATCCCCGCCCATCCTCCCTGGCCGGACCCACGTCTCACCGTGAACCCCGGAGAAGTCTGGGAGTGCCGGGATAGAAAGGGGAGGTGACTCTAAGGATCAAAGGCCAGTGGACTTGGAAGCAGACCCTGCGATCGCCAGAACCCACAGCCTCACAAAACCAGGAAGTGCGTCACACCTGTCTTCCGGGCCTGTGCCGTGCTTCGGGGTCCTCTCTAGCAACGCAGGAGGACTTTACGTTCTCGTTCCCCAATCACTGAGTCGGGCTTTGGGGACCTCTTTCCTCGGCTCAGGTTTTCGCCTCCGGGAAAGGGGGGTTAAGCTTCCCTGATACCGTCCCCCTCAGATTCTTCTATTTCTCCTGTTTTTCTTATTGATGGCAGTAATCACAATAATTCTTATTTTCAAACAATAATAATACTTATTGATTGTGTCTGTGACAGAGGAACTGAAACCAAGATGTAGACAGAGAAAGATCGAAGTGAAGTCAAGGATGAAAGGTTTCACAAAACCCAAGTGGCTGCTTCTCTAGGGACCCTGATTATGTATTGGCACTTGAATGGGCAGTATTTTCAAATACTTGATCTATGGGCAAGAGATATTCTTTCCAATACTAAACAGTTATAAGATTCTGAGCTAGGTGAATGTTTCCAGGGAGTTTTCAGAGTAACAATAGTGGAATTACTATAAGTTGAATTTGAGGTATTGTTGCTCTCAAAGTGCTATCACAATAATTACGACTTTTGACATTACTTTGTGAGTAGTCCAGAAACCTCACCTTCTATAAAACAGTAACTGAGACCTTGAATGACTATGACATGACTCTAAGCTCTGAGACAAGTTTGAGCACAATGCAAGAGCCTACAAAAGGAACAGCCACCTGCTACAGAAGCTACCAATGATAAGGTGATGTTCTGAATAAGCTCACAAGCCCTGAATGTTCCATTCCCTATGAGGGTTGACTGTACTGCGGTTGCCATTGTTTTTCTACTTCCCATACTTCAGTTTGCTCCTTTATCAGTGGCTGGCTTGCTAACCTATGATCCTTGAAGACATCATATTCCCAGAACTTCTTCCTCCAGATACTTCCTTCCATTGTTCCAAGTCATCTCTAAGAGCCATTACATTGTTGTCCATTGTATTTTTCTTTTTTGTCTAAACCAGATTTCTGCTCTCTACCTTACCCCATTCCTACATTAAAGTGCCTAAAGGGTCCAGGAAAGTAGGTTATTGCATATAGCTGGCTCGGTATAAGTTTTATATTTATGTAGTGTGTGTGGCAGGGACTGTGGAGGCCCTTATAATAATTCCATTCTTTGCCTACTGATCTCCTGGCACAAGGAACTCAAAATGGCCTGGTGTCATTATCAATTTACACTTTAGTGGGACACTTAATGTACATCCCAGAAGAAATGTTCTTCCTAAGAATCAAGACCATAACCCACCGGACTCTAGGTTTGGAGATAGGAAGCACAAATTCCACAGGTGGGTTCTTGGGGATGATAGCAATAGAGGCCACTCCTGTTTCGACCCCTTGGTTCCTGTGCCTGTGTAGTTTTTCTATTGGAGACACAATACCATACATATGTACATTATTGGTTCAATGCATATATTGCATCCTGGAGGACAGCTCCTCAACTTCACAAGGTGCCGTATCTTATATCAGCAATTTAGCGGAGTCTTCAACATGCCATTCCACAGTTCTTTCAGGCTAGCTGCTTCTGGGTGACGAGTACGCACCATGAATTCTGTGGTTACAAGCTCAATGCCACACATCCTTGATTATAGAATGGGTTTCTTGGTTTAAGGTATGTCCAGTGGATAAGGCATCCCGTAAGCCCTCAGATGACAGTGCCGGTAGAGGCAAAGCAGTCAGGCAAGACAAATCCACATTGAGAACGTGTACCAATTTTGGGGTGATATTTTACTTCTGTATCTATCCACGCCTAGTGCAAACATGAGCATATGTATGAATGAAGTACTCAGTTCCTTGGGAATAATTGCTCATTTTTTTTTCCTGAGGAAGATTAGCCCTGAGCTAACCTCTGTTGCCAATCTTCCTCTTTTTTACGCTTGAGGAAGATCAGCCCTGAGCTAACATCTATGCCACTCTTGCTCCACTTTATATGTGGGTTGCCACCATAGTGTGGCTGATGAGTGGCGTAGGTCCACACTTGGGATCTGAACCTGCAAACCTGGGGCCACTGAAGTGGAGCATGCCAAACTTAACCACTATGCTATGGGGTGGCTCCCAGACATTTTCTTTAAAGCAATACAGTTTAAGCTAAAAATCACAAATTTTATGAGTTGGTTAATTGTTTCCACCTGTGTCATCTGAAGAACTGTTGAGAGAAATCTTGCTCAAAAGCAAAATAGTAGCTACTGTTTCTCACCACTTTGGTAGGGATTGATGCCTATTGGTGGGACGTGGACTCTTAAAGGGGTGCCTCCTATGGTCTTCTCACTGAAGCAACCTGCCTGAGTTGGCTAAAACTTAGACACAGATGCACCACTGCAATAGTTTACACTCCTCTGCTGCAGAAATGTTTTCCCACCACTTTGCAAATTGGTACAAACTGTGGGGAAATGGCAACTCAAGAAAGAACTACAAACCTATAGCTACCCTAGAATATTAGAAGAGCTGTTGCGAAAGGAGGAAGTAATGGATCATTTTTTGTCCCAGGGACCTCAAAAGGAACAAGAGATAGACATCACCAGGGGGTATATTTCTGTTCAACACAAGAAGTTTCTAACTGGAGCTGTCCAGCAAGCAATGGACTAAGCAGCGCATTTTCTCTCTCTGATGCTGACTCCATTGGGCCCCGGATACTGTGGACTAGAGAGATTGTACCACTGTAGGAAGTTGCATTACATTTATGATACTGAAGGAGCAAAGAAAGAGAAGGCATATCAGAATCTCCGACAGACTGATATAGTTTGAAAAAGCATACAGAAAGCTACACTTTGATTTTTCCTATATTTAACTTGAAATGTCAAATATCACTAAAGGCTAACACTTGATTTGTGAGCTTAAACAAAGGCATAGTATCTAAAGTCCCTTCGAAATCACTCTTTTGATTCTTTAAGAGACTTGCCTGTCCCTAGCAGATCTAGTTGCACCACAAGACATCACATTCTCTAAGGATCCCGGGGTCATAATACCCTAGGGGCTTCTGTTCTAGCACTCGGCCTGTCTCCGTGCTCCGTGGTTTACCTATCCCGGTTTCTGCGGAGTCTTCCCACCAGGAACGCAGCTTTCTTCCAGGCTGTTTCTCTCTTCCACTCCAACTTGCTCCATGTCCCTTCCTTGCCCCAAGAGCCTTAGCAGACTCCGATCCAACGACTTTCTTCGGTCCTCCTACCACCGAAGCGCCGTAATGACTGTATTCTGTAACCCTGTGCTAACTCCCGATCAGCGGACTCATGGAAGTCGGACCCCTAGGTCTGCCATTGCCCCTCACCTCCGACACACACCCACCTGCCTGGCATCACCCCGAGGGCAGTCTCGAGGGTCGGCTGGCGTCAGGGAAGGGCCAGCGGAGGCGCTTTCCCAAGTCCGGAGCTGTCGCGGTCATGATCGGCATACTGGCTACGGAAGCGCCCAGTGGGGTTAGCACGGAGGGAGGGGAAACCGGGAGAAACACACGGAGCAGCCACAGAAGCGAAGTTCCGCGACTCCGAGCCCTCATCCGGGGCCCGCGCCCCGCCCCTTCCCGCCCCCGACTCCGCCCCTTCCCGCTCCCTGGCCGTCAGACTCCGCCTCCGGAAGTGCCACCGAGAATCATCGGCCTCCAAGCGGTCTAGAGCGGCCCTTGGAAGGCTGGGGCGGCCCGGAGACGGAGGGTGTCCGCGGCGGGACGGCCGCCTGGCCCGCCCCTCCGTTCGGGTGAGTCCCCGGAAGCCCTTCTGGGGTCGAGGTGCGGACAGACGCTTGTTTCGCCTCCGAGGGAACGGGAGGAGGCGCCCGGCCCCTGGCGACGGCGGCTTCCGTCCCCAGGAGCGCGCGGGGCCGGGGTGCGAGGGCCTGTTTCTCCTCAGCTCGGGTTCGCCCCGCCGCCCCGCGGGCTCAGGGCCCCGCCGTGAGGACGCGGTGACCGTGCCCTGGGGTGAGCTGTGTCTGTGCGGCCCGCCTCGCTCTTGTGGGGCCGTGTGGTCACCTCACAGGGAAGTGGGAGGAGGGCCGCGCCGGGCGAGGCCTCCGAGGAGCGGGCGCGGGGCCCTGTGTGAGGGTGGCGGAAGGGGACGGAACCCTGTCGCGTCCTTGGCTTTGAAGGACGCCGGTCCAACCTGTTGGAGTCGCGGCTCTTGCCCGGGTTCGTGTCGGGAGTGTGGGAAACGGCCTGCCCCCTGGTCTGAGGTGGCGGAGGGTCTCGGCCCCGAGGTGGGGTTGTGTCAGTCGGGCCCCTTCCGTGCTTCAGAGGGGGCTGACGGAGCGTGCCCAGAGCTCGTATGTTTCTCTGGGTGCGAATTTGAGCCTGGAAAGAAGTTTATAAATTTCAAATATTTTAAACTTTCCACAGAAATCCTTACACCATTAAATTGTAGTCTTGGGAGGTTTTTTTTGTTTTTGTTTTTTGTTTTAAATACCACAAATTCTGAATTAGCAGAGTTCAAACAAATCTGCATACTCGGACCATGCGACGTGGTTCTTCAATATTTGAGACCGGATAGTATCCGCGTTTCCTTCTGTTGTTTGATTTGCGTGGTCCATCGTGGTCAGCTCTCTTTCTTGAGCGTCCACCGTGTGGAAGACGCTTTGTTGAGTCCTGAGGGCATCGGGTGGCGGGGTGCTGGAACTCAGCGCAGTATTTCCCCTCGTCTCACCCCGCAGTGATGGTCACTGTCCTCCAGGACAGGCATGGAGGAGCTTTCGGCCCAGGAAGCAGCGGCATCGCCAGGGGTCCAGTTTCAGTGTTTGGAGATGCCGTCGGAGGGTCTGTCCCCAGAGCCTCAGTTCGTGCAGGACACCGACATGGAACAGGGACTCGCTGGGGGTAAGGCAGAGAGAGCACTTACATCCGGGAGCCTGGGGAACAGAGAGGGGCTCCTGGGCCTGGTCTGAGAGGGGCCAGGAACTTCGGTAAGAAGACGGCCCCCAGAGGGAGGTCCCGAAGGGAGGGACAGATGTGACTCAGTTCAGGCTTGGTCTGGGCCCCTCTGTTAAGGACAGCCCGTCTTTCTTACGTGTTCAGCGTGGTAGTCACTCTGCTTTGGCTCTTTTTCGTTCATACATCCTTCACTTCACCCCACTTACCCCATCCAGAATAATTTTAAGATGTGCTGCTTTTGCTGCATCTTACGATCCTCCCCTCGTTTTCACTTCCTCTTAGACTTAGGGCCTCCCCTGCCCCCCTCACCCTCCCAGTTCCCTTCACTTAGTCTCTTTCCTCCATGATGACCTTGCATGCTTTGCCACCTGCCATTCTGTTGCAATTGCAGTGTTTCGTGACTAATCTAATTTCAGTCAAGAAAACAACTCTTTAATTCGTTGGTTGAGCACAACGCCTGTATGAATGTGTACGTGTCACATCATAACTATACAGTATCATTTTCACATGTTGTGTAGATAGGTTGATCTGTCTTGTACTTCCTCCATTTTGTCTCAGATTACTTGCGGCCAACTGCAGTGCCTGAAATAACTTGTGTGTCGGCAACACTGACTGAGTGCTACAGTGTGTAGAGTGCCGTGGGGCATTGTGGGAGTGTGGAAAGGATTTTGAGGAAACTGATGACCATTCTTATTCGTGGAGGCCTACACACTGGTTGCAGAGACAGTGTCCATTCTCAAGAGAAAGGCTTCATGAAGTTTACAGAACAGTGCTTGGGGAGGGTCAGAGGTTTGCTCAATAGCCCCAGCCCCAGACAAGTCACTGCAAGTCTTTATGCTTTGCTTTGCCCATCTGCAAAACAGGTATAGCACTTACCCTTCTGTTAGAGGAATGTCACGTCATGAGGATGAAGTGAAATGTGAGATTATGAGATTGCGTAATAAAATCCTGTATCACGAGTGAGATTGCATAATAAAATCCTGTATCACGAGTCTAAACCTGTAAGGAGGGTGTGCAAGTGCTGCGAAGGAGCAGAGTAAACACATACCTGAAAAACGTTCGTTGGTTTTACTAGATGTGCAGAAGGGTCCCACTGACTTCCTCTTCTGTACGGGAGCCCTGGGGAAGGGCTGCTCTCACTCTTGGCTCCTTTCTCCTCCCTCAGCTCCACCTGTTTCCCAGGTGCCTGATCTTCCCCACGAGGGAAGCCCAGGAGACCAGGCAGCTGCGCTCCTGACAGCCAGGTACCAGGTGAGCTGAGGAACCTCTGCTTTTCAGGGACTATTCCTGCTGATTGAGTGTGGCTCTTCCCTCATCCCATCCATAAACCTTGCCTGGAATATTTTCAAAAAAGTTCCCAGTTTGGGAACTGATCCTCTTCAGAATCCTGGACTTTACATGAACCACCTTCCCATCTGTCCAACACCACCGGCAAACACTGTTCCTTTTTTATTCCTGGTGCTGTGATGGGTGCTTATTAGATGTAAAGACTTATGGAACTTACTCCCTAGATCCTCATCTGTTCTCCCTCCTCCCAGCATAAATACACACTGGAAACCCGCTCTGTATCATCTCCTTCATTCTCTGGCCATGATGTCATAGTGGCCTCATTCCCCAGAGCAGCCAGGCTGTGTTATTTCAGGAGTTTGTGACATTCGAGGATGTGGCTGTCCACCTTACTCGAGAGGAATGGGGATGCCTGGACCCTGTTCAGAGGGATCTCTACAGAGAAGTGATGTTAGAGAATTATGGGAACGTGGTCTCACTGGGTAAGGACTGTCTTTCTTGTTGTTCCGTTTACCTGTTAGGATTTCTTTACTTCCTTGTTTCTGGGTAGGTGTAAGGTCTCTGAGAAAGTAGTGCGTGGCTCAGATTGCAGGTCTTAGAACCTCCAAATCCTGCATCTTTAAGGTTGTCTCCTCTGGGAGTGGGTTTCCTTTGGGGGTTTCAAGATGATACATTCTACTCCTTATCCTCAGTTAATATTTCCTACTTTAGTGG